AAAATGTTAATGTTTAGTGATGAATCAGACTAGGGAACAGTGGTATTAAATGTGCTCAATACACGTGTGAAAAAACAAAATAACAGTGAAAATAAACTGTAGCTATTTAACTTTAAAAATCAGGAGATCAATTGAATCAGCTCCCTTGGTTTCAACCTGATGGTATAGTCGGGATATTGTTTTATCAAATAACCTCCAAGTAATTTATGTTTAAAAACTAATATTAATAAAAAAACAAAACAAAACAAAAACACTACAACGGAAGAACATAAGCCACTTTGAGAAAAGTGCTTTTCAAACTCTTCAAAAGCCTCGTCTTTGAAATAGAAGTCGAAATTAAATAAAAAAAAAGTTGTCAACTATCTGGACGTAGAATTGAATCTTTAGGTTGGCAGAGTCTCCCCAAGCATTTAACCCAACGCAAAATTAAAATATGTGAATATTAGATCTAACTACCTTGCAAACATAATAAAGCACGTCTCTAATGGAATAGAGTCTAGGTTAACTAGAAAAATAATTTTTGAGGTTAAAATGAAAGAATATGAGAATAACTTAAAAGTAAAATCGTAACCAACCAAACTAGAATTTCAACCACAAATTAAACAACATATGAAGAACAATTTGAGGAAAAGACAAATATCATTTGGTTTAACCCCTAATTTTAACTTAGAGGTATAAACTAAGATAGAGAAATTATTTTCAAGTTACTAAAGACTTCCCAAACAGTTCAATTACGTAAGATATTCAATGAAAATACAGTTAAATTAAGCTACAGTTGCACTAGTAATTTAGAAACAATAATAAATTGACAAAACGACAGAAATTTCAAAACTAACGCACAGGAAAATATAGTGAACACTAGTAATGCATGCAACTGTAGAAATAAGTATAGATATCTGTTAGATGGATCTTGTAAAACAGAAGAAATAATCTAAAAAGAAAAAGTAACAGATATTAATAGCCAAAATAATACGTACATAGGATGTGCCGAAGGTTCTTTCAAACGTAGATAGTACGACCATAAATCTCCATTCAAGCTTAGGAGCTCTGCCAAACTTGCTGACCATGTGTGTAATTTAAAAGAAAGAAAACAAGAGGGATCCAATTGTAAGCTGGAATTTATTTTTTCAACTCGAAGCCTTATAACAACCAAAACAATATTTGAAACATCTGCCCACAGTCAAAATTAGAAAAAATTATATTTCTGGAACCAAAGAAACTTTCCCACCAGAAATCCGAAGTCATGAGACTTTGTATTCAGAATAAAAACTGCCTCTTAAGCACATATGAGGCTCAATAAAAAGATGAGCATTTCAATTAACCCCTAACGAAACGTTGAGAGGTAATTTGATAAAAATCGTCTGAGGATACAGTAAGGTTGAAGCCAAGGCAGGGATTACCACCTGATTTTTAAAGTATATATATATATATATATATATATATATATATATATATATATATACATATATATATATAGATAGATAGATACATAATATAAATATATATATGTATATTATATATATAATATATAATTTGATATATATAATATATATATGATATATATATTAAAATGTATAGAAATAAATATATATATAGATATAACTACATGTTTATATATATATATATATATATATATATATATTATAGCTGGCCACTTGTATTCCAGGATACCCTTCTACTATATATATATATATATATATATATATATATATATATATATATATATATATATATATATATATATATGTGTGTGTATAAACATATATATATATATATATATATATATATAATATATACATATATATATATATATATATATATATATATATATATATATATATATATATATACATAAATTTATATACATACACACACTATATATATATATATATATATATATATATATAGCTGGCCACTTGAATTCCAGGATACCTTCACTATATATATATATATATATATATATATATATATATATGCTGAGTGACAATAAATTCACTACACATTTATTTATAATAAAAAACAAAGTTTTGCGGTAGGTGGTTTGCATTTCGAACAGTATCGGTAATTAATTTACTATTGTTTACGATAGCATTTTATTGTTTTTAGCCAGAACCATTTTAATAATAAATTCCTAGACTTTTGATTAATTGCTTTGTCTTAATTGTTAAAGAATGTAACCCTAGAGCGACTTTTATTGCCAGACTGTATATTTAGAATATATATATATATATATATATATATATATATATATATATATATATGTGAGTAACACAAATGTAGCATTTGTTGGAGAACTGTTCAACCTGAATATATATATATATATATATATATATATATATATATATATATAATGTGTGTGTTTTTTAATGTGAGTGCCTGTGAGAGAGATAGAGCGAGATTGAGAAAGCGAAATACAAAGAAGACAAAATAAGCGTTTCATATATATATATATATATATATATATATATATATATATATATATATATATATATATATATTACGTTGTCCAGAAAGTCCATGCCGAGTTTTAATCGTTGACTTTCCAACAGTTTGGAACACGTTAAATTTATTGACAGATATAACATGCTCATATTTTCGTTGATAGCATACTTCCAACTTGAGAAAGTATTTTCAAATTGCTTAATTCCTGTCAGTTTTGCATCCCTATGAAAATGCAAGTTTATAAGGTGCATTTGATACGCTTGATGCTTTTTTGTGTCAGAGAGAGAAAGTTTGTGTGTCTGAGAGAGAAAGTGTGTCTGAGAGTGAAAGTATGTTAGAGAGATAATATTTGAGATGTACACTGACAGACAAAACAATCAGAGATGTAGATCGATTGAGATTAAAGGAGACAAATAGGGAATTAGTCAGGCAAACAAATAGAGAGGCAGACACGCGGACATATTGATAGAGGCAGGTAAACTGACACGTTGAGAAATAGGTAGAAAAACAGGCAGACCCATAGAGACGAAGGGAGACAGACACAGAGACACTTGTAGCGATAGCTAGACAGGCAGGGAGATACATAGAGAGGTATTTAGATAGTCAGGCAGATACACAGAGAGGTATACTGGCAGACATAAAGGTAGACAGATAGGCAGACAGAGAGATATGTTGACACGCAGCCAGAAAGAGAGGTAAGTAGAGAGGCAGCTGGAGAGAGTGGTAGTCAATGAGAAAGACGGAGTAATTGATACAGATAGACAAAGTTAGGCAGAGATATATAGTTAGACAACGATCTGGTATTTTATGATCAATTCTTCCTGAACTATAATCATTCATGAAAATGTCATAAATATTTCATCTTGGAATGCACCAACACTCTGTACTTCTTCTGTATGTTAAGTTGCTAGATGTTTACTTTATTGCACTTCTTATGTCAATGTACTTGTTCACGCATTGGTTTGTACGTAGAATTGTTTATTTTTCATTAGCAGATTCCATTGCAGAACACCTCAATTCTTATTTATATTATTTCTATCCCCAAAACTTATAAATTGCTCTAACCTCATTTCTTTTAGCATTGGGTGTGTTCTTCGTACGTCTTCCATTATAAGCATACATTTAGCTTAAATGTCCAAGAGCATATTCAGTTTTCCTATGACATCCTATTTCACTTGGATTATTAATAATTTTTGCTTCCTTTGTAATAAAATCAGTTCACACGTCCTTATGCTTTGACTGGATTAAGTTAAATTAATAAATTTATGCATTCTGGTTGCACAGATTCTGATGCTAAGTGGTGCTTAATATGTGCATCTTTTATATTTTCTTTATCTTGATAATTCTGTCCTTGGTTAGTGAGCCATTTTCCACACTGCCATTTTTTGAATCTCTTGCAAACAGGGGTTTCCAAGAACTTAGTTTATGGTTTTATTTACGTTTGTTTATCTTATGCAGTGCTTTAGTTGCTATTGGTATGACAGTAGTTTTAAGGTTTGCTATTTCATTTTCAATAGCTTTATATATTTTTTTGTTATATTCTTTAACATATAGATTTATATCTGATTTCTCTGCTATATGTATGCAATTTTTGTGTTTGGTGTCTTTATGCACAAATTTACGTCTATTAGTTTTTATCTGCTTGTCATCATGAATAGTGATATTTAGCTAGCTACCCTCCACGAGGGTTACATGTGGCACAAGGCCAGGTTTAACGTGAAATCTCCGAGCCCGTAGGCTCGGCCAAAAATATACCCTCTTTGAAGCCGCATAAACGGGTTCAGGCGCAGTCAACCACCCCGAACGAGACTCTGCCCTTCGGCGGAGCCTCGTCCGGGTTCCTCTCCGCGCGAAGGCAGAGAGTTAGCCTGTTAGCCAAGTTATAGTAAAGTCCTAAAGTATAGTGCACTCATGGCTTCCTATGAATGTTTCTGAATGATGTTCCTATTATTTTCAGCCTGCTGTATGTTTAAATACTGATATAACTTTCATATACTTCCCAATCTTAACATGCCGTTCTTTGTATTCTTTTGGTTTAAAGATTCCACAGTTAGACATATTATTATTGGTGCTTTGGTTAAAGCTACATTTCTTATAAGCAAGTTCATTATTTTTACATGAACTGTGTATGAAATAAATATCCTTAAATTCTTTTTTTTTTCCTGATACATGCACTAATATATTGTATACTTTTTCTGTATTTATGTGCCTATTTGTTAAATTATATACATAAATACATTAATAAACATGCACATACATTTATTTTTCTATGTATATATGCTGGTACGGCTGCACGCACGCACACAAGCGTACATACAGAAAAGTAATCAAATTATAAGCCTCGAAACCACCTGCAAAGTCATGAATGCCCGTCAGCTACGTTCATAGTAATGAAGTCCAGCCACATAAAAGGAAGTTTGCGGTCTTCACATACTAAATTCATTATGCACATCCATCCGTGATTCCTGTATAGCAAGTTACTTTTTGAAACAAAGACAAAGATTTCAAGAGTTTATAGAAATGCGGTTAAATTTGGAAGGTGTCTATTTCAACTTTGG